TTTAAAAATATAAACACTTGTATCCCAGAAGATTTGATAGGATCACTGTTTAGAATTCCCAATATTGTTGGTACCAGTTGCCCTTCGCATGTCCAGAAGTCCCAACAGTGTGGCTGCACTGCAGCTTGCTATATTATAGAACACATCACAGAATTTCACAATGGTTTACACTATATACAACACTCGGTGATGAATGGTGCTGAACTTAGATGAAGCTCTCATAGAATGTACAAGAATAAAGCTCTACACTCACAAGGCTGAAGCCCCCACAGAAAAATCAATGAAGTTTCCCCAGCTGCATGCTCAAGACAGAAGCTGGAAACCTCGACAACAAAGCAGCAATGTTTGTCTAAGCAGCTGTTTGGAGAACTTACACAGCTAAATATCAAGAAGCCTCATTGTTTAACTCTTCATATTGGAATTTAAGCATTTTCTTTGAAATAGTAAGTTCTACAAGTTACATGATCTGACTTGACTTGGAATTACAAGAAATTATGGCCCACTCACCCTCAATTGCCATCTGGCCCTAACGAAACTGACTGAAAAATACTCAAAACAACTCTTCCATGTTTAAACCTTTTGCTTTTGGCTTCAAGATGATTGGCTGTATTGCTGCCAGGCCGTTAAGCTAATAAAGTTCTTAAAGAAATCATGCATGTAAGTGACTCCTTAACATGAAAATACCTCTGAAAAATCCCCTCTTGATTTAAGAAATCCATCAGCTTAGATGCATGGCTTACCTGGTAAACTTCTGACAAATTCTAGTTCATCTGTTGTCCTCAAACACAAGCCAGTATTTGCTTCAAAATTGCAAAGTATTTCAAATTATAAGTAACAAAGAGTGTATATCCGCAAAAACGTTAAGCATTACCCATTGTTTTGTTTTCAAAAATCTTAAAGTTCCTTGTATCTTTTGGAATGTCAACACAGACATTGATAACAGTTTGATTAATGTTAAAATATCACCAAAACATGCTGAATGGCAACAAGATCACTGTATTTCCAGGTGGTACAAATGGCTTGGCCAAAACATACAAAGAAGCAGGGGAGTGAAGTGACTTTTTAGTTTTATGCCGCTGTTAGCAATATTCCAGCAATATCACGGCGGGAGGACACCAGAAACGGGCTTCACGCACTGTACCCATGTGGGAAATCGAACCTATGTCTTCAGGGTGACAAGCAAATGCTTTTAACCACTAGGCTATCCTACCGCCCCTGGGAGGTAACTGAAAGAGTAGTCAAATACTTTTTACCAGACATTCTGTTCGAAAATAAATAATTCGCTGTCTTCACTTTCAGTGTCTGTATTTCAATGCAAGCACGTCATGTTAAACCAAACCTGTGCGTTCTGTAAACCAATAAACACAAGACATGATGGCAAGATATAGTCAGTTCATATAGAAACATATACCAGGAAGATGTGATTCATTACTTTCCAGGTACATGTATGTGCAAGTTGTATGATGCATTGTACCAGCTTCACAGACCTCTAAATTCAGCACCATCACACTTTGTGTAACATCAGTATTCATAGATAATGTCATATGTCAGTTATCAGTACAACATCAACGCTAACTGCTTGTGACATGACCGTGCAGGATGTTGCTGCTGCTGCTGTTGTAGTAGTACTCCCTGGTATTGTGATGACATCCAATGTGGCACAGTCAGCCACATGGCGGGCCACCAACATCACTCAATAGTTGGTCAAATCAAATTTCACATACATAGTAATTCATGAAAACAAAATCAGCACCATCATATATCAACAGAAATAGAAACAAACCAATCACACATTAGTGCAAACCCTGATTAAAAAAACTCCTGGCCATGAAAACGTGGAGATAAAAATGTTCACCAAATTAGTGTTTCGTTCACAAAAATAAGATGCATTCACAAAATGTCTACTGAATAATGAAATAACTGCTACATCTCACCTCAGAAGATTTTCATAAAAGGAACACATTGTCACATAGGACACATATGTCCTAAATGTATCTAAATACATGAAAAAGTCAAACAATATGAAAAATCTGTATTATGAGATGAACATCTAGCAAGTAATAGATCATTACTGGGTGGTTGTTTCATGGCTAATAGTTCAAGATAAATACTGACAAATATCCACTTAGGACTCCATATACAATAAATCTTATAACATTCTTATTAAGATAATCATGGATTATCTTGGGATCTAAAATACTATTCAAACCTGAGTAGGTAGGTCATATTTGTACTTATTTAAAAAAAACAAAACAAAGCACACAGAATGTAACAATGTATGAGACTACCATTAGCGATAACTTTACCCATGTTCAGAAAATACTGTTCAAGAGCGTCCTTGTTTTGGCTTTCGACAGTAAGTACTTGTTCAAATTAAAATTGTGATCAAGATGGCGTACACTGAGCATTAAGAACATAACAAGTAACGAGAGATTGTCATCATGCAGTTGCCAGGTGACATTTATGCAAAATGCTTCAAAAAGATATCCCAGAAAACATGCATGAGATCAGTCAGGGAGTACTTTACCCATCTGCTATTTCATGAACAATGTTACAGATGGCTGTTGAATACAGACTAAGGATGATGACTGTGAAACCCATGAAACAACCACCCACATTTGTCAGTGCTGCTGATCAGGCCCCGTTCCTCAAAGCGAATCGTAGTGCTATGACAGTCGTAAGTCTATGTTAAAGTACGGGAGTTACGATCATCTTAGCGCGATGATCGTTTTGTGGAATGGGGCCGTGGTGTTAGGTACATGGTGCCACACAAGGAGCTTCCACATCCAGTACATGTATACAGTGTGACAACCAGTTGGAGATGTTTCTTCATGTCACTCGTTACATACACAGCAGGGTGGACACCGTCACTGAGCCAACCAGTCCACAGCTCATTCTGGACTTGTTTCTGTAGATTAAGTAGCTATGGAAATATACAAGTTGATCCAGACTTTCACTACAGACTAGTTGCTGTGTCCAGCCCTGTATGGTTATACAAAACAAGCATCGAGAACATAGCGAAACGTCCCAAGTTTTCCACTTTGTCACGCTGTATTGATGTTTGAAGGGAACATGGTCTATGAATCCTCTCAACATACCCCACTGCAGTTACTCCAGCTCCATGTAACAATAAGTCTACTCCCACAGTTTCAGAAAGCAAACAATAATTCTGCTAATTGCTCTGTTTGGAAACACCGAGGCTGGACAAGGGGATGAACAGCGGGATGTGATCACAGATCAATAAAGTATTCTAGCAGTGGTGCAGCCCACAATACTCCACGGTTGTGAACATGGACTGCAATGTGTGTAGTGAGGATCATCCCGTGACGAATCGTCCAGCAACAATCAACGAGTCCTTGGTGTAAGAGTGGCCAAAGATGCTTACAATTTTTCAAGGTATGGTGTTTAACTCATGGGAATCAGAACAAGCATGGTTTGTGTGCCTTGTCAGATTTTTCCTTTGTTTTCTTATAATGAAGCAGCATGTTGGTGCTGCTGAGAGTTTATAATCATGACTGCTTAGCTCATACAGAAACAACTGAACTGCTTGCTTTAAGAACTGCTGAGGAATAACCTATGTATTAGACCATGTTGTATCTCATGAGAGTGCTACTGTCTGTCAGATATAACTGTTATTTAAGTATCTCATACATCTGACATAACACTGAAACATCTGTTATAAAACTGTCTGAAACATGTTACAACACTGTCTGAAACATCTGTTATAAAGCTGTCTGAAACATCTGCTATAACAATGAAACATCTGTTATAACACTGCCTGAAACATCTGTTATAACACTGCCTGAAACATCTGTTATCTCAGTGTCTGATGTAATTGACTGGTGACTGAAGTGGGGTATATTTCAAGGACAGTAATTCCTATTTTCCTCCAAAGCCACATTTCCCACCTGACTAGCTGAGAATGAGGCAATATACACAAGTGTGCAGGTGTTTACACTATTCAGTACACACTGAATGGTGGTCCCTTTCACTCAGTCTCCCTCCATCCCACCCTTCCAAATACCAGTGAAAGGGAGGCAACCTATTCACAAATGTCAGACTTATTATATTATGTCACAATCAGATTTCCTGAAGAAGTAGTGGTTTATTTTTCACAAATGTTACAGGTAAACACGTCCTTGGTATCACCAAGGGTAAGGCAATAATATTCGCGTGAGCACTGCCATGTTTGTGTGTTCTGCCAGTGAGGTGTATGCCCTGGCAGCACCAGCAGGGGAAGTGGGAAACTGAATCAAATTACGCCACCTTCAAAACGTTATGGCCTGCTTGTAGCTTCAGATAGGCAGGGATCGTAAATACACAGTAACAAATCTCAGTGGAGCAGATATGTTGAGGTAATCATCTGCCTGTCTGTATTTGACATAGTGTGTACATGCAGGTTATTAAACACACCTGTACTAACCTGCTGGGTAAAACACCTGCATAGTCAACACTCTGTCGCTACTTAGAAGGCGATCAACTCTATCTGTCTCATCTGGTGGATGTAGCATCCACATGGACACAATGATGATACAGTTACAGTATGTACGACTATGTTGCAGCGTCCAGTGATGTTCCTTGTGGTATAACAGGGGTATTCTACTGCTACTAGTGCTGGGGTGGTGGTTATACACTGGTGGCAGTAATATCTACGTAGGTATGAATGGGTTAAGTTGAAGTTCTCACTGGCTAAGTTTAATATACTTTGTCTTCTCAACAAGAACCTGTCACTAAAAACCTAGCCTGTTATATCTTCCATGCCTCAAATCTCCGCCTTAAAGCACTTGCATAAGTAGTTTTGTAAAATTATGTAATACTGTATATGGATCATGTTGTACATAGGGCGATGGCCCACACCGATGTACCGGAATAAAGAATAAAGGACGGGTCAATACCTTTCTGTGTTGTACCAATCACATATGACAGGACAGTCCCTGCAAGGTTTCAGTGTCATATCCAGTTTTAACGAGATAGTAATACATATTGATAATAAAAATTTCCCCATGCCCAAATTGTGTAAAATGGTATCTGAGTGCATGCTTTGTTAAAGTTTACAAAATTACCACAAGAAATTCTAAACTCTAAAATTATAGAAAAGTTAAGAAACTGGCAGTAAGTAATGGAACAAGGAAACAGTTTTGAATTAAATTCAAATAACCCAAACTATTTCAATGCCCCATTTGTGATACTATAAATGATGGTGTGTCATGACAGAATGGGTTCAGAAGGTGGAGGTGATGTAGTGGAGTCGTGCCATACAGCAGGCTGTGGCACCTGTATTGCTGATAAACTGACCAGCTTTCTTTCAGTAGATATGTAAGAGACATGTGGTTGGGGTTTTCCCCATCCTGTTTTGATTATTTTTCAAACATTATCACACATCTTTAGGCAAAGTCGACTGCTTGATGACATCAGTTCTGAGGAACACTTTCAACCCTTACACACCAGCTCAAGTCAGAGTGGAAAATGTGGCTTCATAATCATGGCAGAACATAATCAGGACAATAAAAACACTTCACAATTATTCAAAATGCCATATCAAAATTACATAATAAACAATATATCAACCAAATCTATATAGCGCCTGAGACGCTGACAAAACAATGGCTGGTGGCGAGGGCCAACATGAGATCATTGAGAACGGGAGAATGTCAAGATCATTGTAGTCAAGATCATTTGAGGACAACTGATGTCACAAGTCAAACCGGGGAGTAGGCTGAGAAAGCTGAACCCTCAAGTGTAGTAGTTGTCACTAGGTCATCATGGATCGGCACAAAATGCTGGAAAGAAGAAATTTGAAATGGTTCAAGCGAATTTCCTTCCTCTTAGACTGAGTCGTAGAATCTACTGTCTCTAAATATAATGTTAAATATTTAAACTGAAATGAAAGACTGACTAATAATTTTTAACCTCAGAACTATACAATTCTAAAATCACAATTGTTCGTTGACCTCAAACGAAGACAATCAGTCAGACAGTCAGTCTCTGACATGTGTAACTTACCATATCATCTCCCTCCATCAGTGTCCGAGCTACAGGATCCTGCACACCACGCTCTGGTTCTGATACATCCCTGAAGAACGTTTGTAATCGACAAGTGAACAAAGCACACTCATCATCCAAGAGTGCATCAAGGTAAATGTCTGAGTCACTCGGTACATGTCGCGCCTGCTTGGCTGGCAGGGGAGAGGTTGCACTTAGGGTCACAGAGGTCAAACTGGAAGTCACAAGGGTCACCGATGCAGGGACGACCTGATCAAAGGCAGACGATTTTGTTTCCTGCAGGATACTCCTGAACCTTGACTCTTCTGAGACTTCAACACACTGACGCTTACAGGTTTCAGAAGGTTCACTTGAAGAATCTGGAATTTCCCTCTCATCAGAACACACAGATTCCTCATCCAGTTTGAGTGATGGAACATTAGAGTCGTCTCCCTTTGGGGATGATCGACTAGCTGCCACTTTGAGAGCTAGAGGTGTCCATATTGGAGGCGTGATTGTGGGAGGAGAGTGCTCCTCGAAGGTTGCCTGAGATGGTCGGTTGGGTTGTGGCATGGACAAACCCAGGGCTATGGATGTGACAGGGACAGGAGAGTGGGTCTTTCTGGTGCCACTGACAACATCTGGTGTCAGTTCCAGCTCTTCTCTCAACAGAGGTAGCTTGCAGGGTGCCCTCGGGCTGAGAGGAGCACTGGAATCATGGGTCACAGATTCTTGCACATTTTCACTGCTTCCCTGTGAAAATTGTTCAGAAGTTGAGGACACGTGTCGCCCCTCACTAGACACATCACCGGATTCATGAGACTTGGATTGGACACTTTGTTCAATGTTAGATATACACTCACGCTTACTACTGGAAGACAAGGAAAAGTCAGATTGTGTAGACTGCAGCCCACGACCTGCGTGGACGGCACTCGAGGAGGTTGTCATAGACTTGACTTCTTCATCTGAGTCACATGAGTCAGTCACAAGATGAGGTGCAGCTCCTGCTGATGAGGATTGCTGGTAATTGTCATTAATGTCCCCAGATTTCATCTGAGTCTGCTCCTGCCTGCAGGCTGGCTGTGATGGACCCTGTTCGGGGCACATGGAGGAATGCTCTGTGTATTGCACTTGAGATCTGTGTTGTTGTTGTGCTCAGACTGGTCAGGTTGGGCTCCACAAGACATCTGACTCTGCCTCAGCCTCTGTTCCAATTGCTGTTGCACTCTCAGTAGCTCCAGCTGGCTCTGTTGGACAGCCAGGAGTTGCTGCTGGATCTGTGACTGAGTCACCTGGATGCCACCCAACTGACTCTCTGCTGGTGCAGGTGGACAAGGACCTGGAGCCACTCGTGTCACATTGGAGTTGATGTCACTTGGAACACCCAGTTGTAATCCCTGAGTCACTGAGCTGTGTGTTAGTGTGGTACTAATGTTAGATATAGTCACACCGGGAAGCTGACGCTGGTAAGGAATCTGAGGTTGCCGGGATGATGGTGTAAGAAGATGGTGGATGACAGACACACCTGAGGTGTCTGGATGACGACGACTAGATTGTTGATGTTGCTGTGTGAGCAGCTGTTGTTCTTGTTGTTGCTGGTGATGGGTGAGATCATGTTGATGAGGATGATTGTTGTCATTGTCGTCCTGTTTATGCTCGTCACTCATGGCCATGTTTAGCTGCTGCAACTCGTGCAGAAGCTGTCGCTCCTTCTCCTCCAAACTCTGCCAAGACACAACACAGGTAGTAAGATTAAAACATATATAGTCAGTTTTCATAGATGCAGACAGACAGCTACTTTCTTTGTGTATTTCAGTAGAAACATAGCAGTATGGTACACAGTATATCAAGGACCCATTATCTGTCAGGGAATGACCAAAGAAAAAGATACTTGTAAAGGCTTGCAGGGATTTATCAAAACCTGTGCAGAAGACAATATTCAACAGCTATTTTAAATTAAAAATCCAGATTGGAACTGAAGAGTTCCTATTTCTTGTAAATGCAGTCAGGAGTGGATATAAGATCTGTCTGCCACCCAAGCATGCCAATAGTGTCAGAACACTAGATATATCTTCATAAATCACACATGCCTCTTTGATCCTAAGAGTTGGCTGTGTTAGGGTTAGGATAGGTTACCCTCAAAACTATCTTCAGCCCCTCGATCCATGAATATAAATATTGACAAACATTCTGTATTCTATATAATTTGACATTTCTGCATTGACTGCAAAGTTAAAATAACTCTCAAAATCAGAAAATATAAGCTGCCAATTTGGAACAATACAGTTTCATCCAAATTTGGGTGCCATGGCTGGTAACAATGTTGGAAATATATATCTTCATAATAAGATATATGATACAATATAGGAGTGAGTGAGTTAAGTTTTATGCCGCACTCAGCAATATTCCAGCTATATGGTGGCAGTCTGTAAATAATCGAGTCTGGACCAGACAATCCAGTGATCAACAACACGAACATTGATCTACACAATTGGGATACAATGACATGTGTCAACCAAGTCAGCGAGCTACAATACAGGAACATATGACACAGGCCACATCACTAGGCCATATGTCATCATCGATGAAAATGTCTTAGACCATAGGTCAAAACTGAAAATATAGGGCTTATGCTAAAGAGATCAGTGAGGACTAGGACAGATAAAATGTCAATGAAACTGTAAACTTTGAGATATGGATGTGACTGGAAACAGTTCATGAAAGGTTTAATATATAAGCATCAAAGCACTACAGCCCATGACAGGTTTAAATAAGCACATAAGCACAACAGTTCATGAAAGGTCTATAAAGCATCAATGCACAATATGGCCATATATGCACAACAGATCATGACACTTTCATACAAGCATATATATGCACAACAGACCATGACACTTTCATACAAGCATGCACAACAGACCATGACACTTTCATACAAGCATATATATGCACAACAGACCATGACACTTTCATACAAGCATATACATGCACAACAGGCCATGGCACTTTCATACAAGCATATATATGCACAACAGACCATGACACTTTCATACAAGCATATACATGCACAACAGACCATGACACTTTCATACAAGCATATATATGCACAACAGACCATGACACTTTCATACAAGCATATACATGCACAACAGACCATGACACTTTCATACAAGCATATATATTCACAACAGACCATGACACTTTCATACAAGCATATATATGCACAACAGACCATGACACTTTCATACAAGCATATATATCAGAAGAGACCATGACACTTTCATACAAGCATATATATGCACAACAGACCATGACACTTTCATACAAGCATATATATGCACAACAGACCATGACACTTTCATACAAGCATATATATGCACAACAGACCATGACACTTTCATACAAGCATATATATCAGAAGAGACCATGACACTTTCATACAGGCATATACATGCACAACAGGCCATGACACTTTCATACAAGCATATATATGCACAACAGACCATGACACTTTCATACAAGCATATACATGCACAACAGACCATGACACTTTCATACAAGCATATATATGCACAACAGACCATGACACTTTCATACAAGCATATATATGCACAACAGACCATGACACTTTCATACAAGCATATATATGCACAACAGACCATGACACTTTCATACAAGCATATATATGCACAACAGACCATGACACTTTCATACAAGCATATATATCAGAAGAGACCATGACACTTTCATACAAGCATATATGCATAACAGTTCATGAAAGGTATATATAAGCATCAAAACACAACATCCCACAGAAGGTTTATATAGGCATTGATGCACAACAGCCCATGAAAGGCTTACATAAAGCTTATATTCAAAACTGATAATGAAAGGTTTATATAAGCATATAAACATAATGAAAGGTTTATATAAGCATACATCCAAAAATGATAATGAAAGGTTTATATAAGCATACATCCAAAAATGATAATGAAAGGTTTATATAAGCATACATCCAAAAATGATAATGAAAGGTTTATATAAGCAAACATCCAAAAATGATCATGATAGGTTTATATAAGCAAACATCCAAAAATGATCATGAAAGGTTTATATAAGCAAACATCCAAAAATGATCATGAAAGGTTTATGTAAGCATATATCCAAAAATGATAATGAAAGGTTTATATAAGCATGTATCGAAAACTGATAATGAAAGGTTTATATAAGCATATATCCAAAACTGATAATGAAAGGTTTGTGAAAGCATCAATGCACAACAGGCCATGAGAAGGGACACGAGCATGGCTTCACTTACACTTTACAATTGTGCACTGCCATCAATAATGGGAAGTGCTAGCTAGCAATTCCTTGTGCGCTGGCTATGACGCAAGCTGGTCTGTGGTGATGGTCTGACGGTGAGGGTGAGTCATCCCCAATCAAAGTACCAAACCACATGACTATACCATGCTCCTCCTACAATGTAGCCTTGACACCTAGTATCCGTTCCGCTACTCTCAGCGCTGCTACTTCATGTCACAAGAAGTGCTTCTCACATTTTGTTACCACCAAAATCATATCATAGATGATTCATTACACTGGATATATATTTCTGGACATTCTTTTTGAAAGTGTTTCAGATTCTTCAGTGCTACATAACTAACTCCCTGCTGTCAGCTATATACAATAAGAATATTCCTATTTACACATGTGTGTGACATATGCTATAGAAATGTTGAGTGTCCTCAAATATTTTCAGACATAGCTACAAGTGTGCACATGTAACTTTGTTACATCTCTGAATCCAATGATGTAGATAGATATGTTGTAATTCCACTCTACATTCTGCTGGAGGTAGTTGCTGACATGTTCAAGAACAGAATCTGCTTCTTCAGCAATATCAATCTGTGGATGCACATGGAAAGCCTGTGAGGACACACTAAACACTTCCTTATTTACTGAATATATACTGTATATAGCAGGGTCATAACTTATTGTTACTAGCGAGTAAGTGAGATAAGCTGTGATGTTTTACTGTATGTGAAGGCTGAAAGTGGGACACAAAAACACTGAATGAGAGACTAAAGATGAATCTTTTAAACATGCATGCTTCCCTCTCAAGAACTCTCCACACTCTCCAGCAATAATGACCACCTGATCCCTGATAAAGCTATCTCTACCCTCTAAAGTGCCTCTACTCAGGTACCCTTCACACTCTCCAGAAATAATGACCACCTGATCCCTGATAAAGCCACTTTTTGTACCCTCTAAATTGCCTCCGACTCAGGTACTCTCAAGTAATAATGACCACCTGATTCCTGATAAAGGCACTATCTGTACCCTCTAAAGTGCCTCCTCTCAGGTACTCTCCACACTCTCCAGCAATAATGAACACCTGATTCCTGATAAAGCCACTATCTGTACCCTCTAAAGTGCCTCTACTCAGGTACTCTCCAGTAATAATGACCACCTGATCCCTGATAAAGTCACTATCTGTACCCTCTAAAGTGCCTCTACTCAGGTACTCTCCACACTCTCCAGTAATAATGACCACCTGATCCCTGATAAAGTCACTGTCTGTGTACCAGGCCTCTAAAGTGCCTATCTGTACCTCAGGCCTCTACTACTCCACACTCTCCAGTAATAATGACCACCTGATTCCTGATAAAGGCACTATCTATCTGTACCCTCTAAAGACCACCTGCCACTCACTCAGGTACTCAGGTACTTCACACTCTCCAGTAATAATGACCACCTGATTCCTGATAAAGCCACTATCTGTACCCTCTAAAGTGCCTCCACTCAGGTACACTCTCCAGTAATAATGACCACCTGATTCCTGATAAAGCCACTATCTGTACCTCTCCAGTGATAATGACCACTCTGATTCCTGGCCACTATCCACACTCTCCAGTAATAATGACCACCTGATTCCACACTCTCCAGTATAAAGCCACCTGATTCTGATAAAGCCACTATCTGTACCCTCTAAAGTGCCTCCACTCAGGTACTCTCCACACTCTCCAGTAATAATGACCACCTGATTCCTGATAAAGCCACTATCTGTACCCTCTAAAGTGCCTCCACTCAGGTACTCTCCACACTCTCCAGTAATAATGACCACCTGATTCCTGATAAAGCCACTATCTGTACCCTCTAAAGTGCCTCCCTACTCAGGTACTCTCACCTGATTCCTGATAAAGCCAGCAATAATGACCACCTGATCCCTGATAAAGTCACTATCTGTACCCTCTAAATTGCCTTCACTCAGGTACTCTCCAGTAATAATGACCACCTGATTCCTGATAAAGTCACTATCTGTACCCTCCAAAGTGACTCCACTCAGGTACTCTCCACACTCTCCAGCAATAATGACCACCTGATTCCTGATAAAGCCACTATCTGTACCCTCTAAATTGTCTCCACTCAGGTACTCTCCAGTAATAATGATCACCTGATTCCTGATAAAGTTACTATCTGTACCCTCTAAAGTGGCTCCACTTAGGTACTCTCCACACTCTCCAGTAATAATGATCACCTGATTCCTGATAAAGTCACTATCTGTACCCTCTAAAGTGCCTCCACTCAGGTACTCTCCACACTCTCCAGTAACAATGACCACCTGATCCCTGATAAAGCTATCTGTACCCTCTAAAGTGCCTCCACTCAGGTACTCTCCAGTAATAATGACCACCTGATTCCTGATAAAGCCACTATCTGTACC